GCCTGTTCCTTTTATATTTAATACACTTGTAATTATACTCTTAAGTATAATAGTATAACCTTGTTTTCCCATGTAACATTTTAGAGGTATTTGGGTGAGCTACAGATTGGCTGAAAGAGAGAACACTTGTCTCTTGTTTAAGGTTTCAATTTAAATTCACAGCCAATGTGAGCAAACTTCAGGGTCATCTGGACACCAAGATCTAAATGGATCTTGGGCCAGCCAGCTTTTGGTTGTACTGTGAACACCTGGGCATTTGTTGCCCTCTTCCCTTTCCTAGATTTCAGTCAAGAACCAGGAGACAGCTGGGCACAGTGTCACTTGCCCATAATCCCAGCAGCTTGGGAGGTTGAGACAGGAGGATCTTGAGTTCAAAGCCAGCCTCAGCAATGGCGAGGTGCTAAGCAACTCAGTGAGACCCTGTCTCTAAATAAAACACAAAATAGGCCTGGGGATGTGGCTTAGTGGTCGAGTACCCCCGAGTTCAATCCCTGGTACAAAAAAAAACAAAACAAAACCCAGAGCCTGATGTTTGTAAACATAACATGTCAAGTAAAAGCATAAGGGTTGGAATTTTCTGGAATGGTGTAGATTCTGGTTGGGTGTGAGGGTTAGGTGAGATTGGAATTGTATCTAAGATGTGGATTTATATTATTATTGTACCGGGGATTGAACTAAGGGGCACTTAACCACTGAGCCACATTCCCAGCCCTTTTTAATATTTTATTTAGATACAGGGTATCACTGAGTTGCTTAGGGCCTTGCTGAGTTGCTGAGGCTGGCTTTGAACTCACGATTCTGCTGTCTCAGCCTCCAACAGGCGTGCACCATCTTTCCCCACCAAGATGTGTTCTTACCAAATGTCAACTGGACACAAATTTAACTCATTAATTTAGTTAGTTCTAAATGTAACTAGAAATCAAAACTAAGCTTGGTTTCTCTGCTCTGAATGTGGTATGACATCTTTACCTCACGAGTGCTATGTATAAGGAAATTCTAAAGAGGCCTGTCTTCTGAAAAATGTAGTTTGAATGGTGAGTGTAGGTGGTAATCTGCCTTCATGGAAAGTTCAAACTGAAGAAATGGAGTTGGGTTTCTGGCTAGAATTTCAAGATCATCACTTCAGAGATACGAGATGGTCTGTACGTCCTACTTGGACAGAAGGTCAAATGAGAAATTAGTTTTTTTTTTTTTTTTTTTTTTTTAATTTGCTAGGGCACTCAACCACTGAGCCACATCCCAGCCCTATTTTATATTGTATTTATAGACAGGGTCTCATTGAGTTGCTTAGCACCTTGCTGTTGCTGACGCTGGCTTTGAACTCGTGATCCTCCTGTCTCAAGTCTCCTGAGCTCTGGGATTATAGGTGTGCACAACTATGCCTGGCAGAGAAATTAATTTTTGAGTGTATGAAAACAATTCAGCTACAAGGCTTTGTATATCACTACTCATAATAAGGTTCTTTAGCCTTAGAAAAGTGATGCTTGATCTGGCCTTTCAGATTCTTTATTTTTTAATTTTTTTTAAGCTGCAGATAAACACAATATCTTTACTTATTCGTTTATTTTCTACGTGGTGCTGAGGACCAAACCCAGTGCCTCGTGTGTGTGAAGCAAGCACTCTACCACTCAGCCCTAGCCCCAGCCCTGGCCTTTCAGATTCTGACTTAACCTTAATTGATTCTGCAAGTTCTGTGGTGGTCTTGGGACTTTTTCTCCCATAGTGGGGCATAAATTATGGTTAGGCAACATTCCAGCTCAGGACGGAATAAGAGGTTTGAGGGCATCTTTAGAAACTACTGCAAACCCCCTTTCATTAATCCCCACAGTGGAATTCCTGGGGAATACAGGAATCCCAATGGAGGGATTAAGTAGCCACTTGTATATGAGGTTGGGTGGGAGAATGGAGCCATTCCAGTTTCTCTCCTGGAATAAACTGTCACTGCTATGACTCCAGGGCACAGCAAAGTAATCTATTAAAGTATAAAACTACAGGAAAATATTATACCTCTACCATAGTTTTATATGACAGCCATTATTTAAAAGATTTTTAGTTGTAGATCGACACAATACCTTTTATTTATTTTTATGGGTGCTGAGGATTGAACCCAGTGCTAGGCGAGTGCTCTACAGCTGAGCCACAACCCCAGCCCCCCCCAACATCCGCTTTTTAAATGCAATTAGGATAGAGTATAGGAAAGTACACTTGAAACATACTATAATACAGAAAATCCAAACATAAAAATTAAAGAACAATCTATCCCATAGTTTATTAAACAAGTGAATTGCTCTGTTTTTGCTTTTGTTTTGGTATGAGGGATTGAACCCAGGGGCTCTCATCACTTAGCTACATCCCCAGTCTTTTATTTCTTATTTTGAGACAGGGTCTCACTGTTTCTAAGAGTCTTATTAAATTGCCTTAGGAGTTCTGTTTGTTTGTTTTTGGTGGTGGTACTAGGGATTGAACCCAGGAACTTGTGAATGCTAGGCAAGCACTCTACCAACTATTAAATTGCCTTAGGTGGCCTCAAAGTTTTGTGATCCTCCCAAGGAAAAAGTAATATATGTATTCTTTGTGTTTAAAAAGCTTCATTTCTTTGCTGGATGTGATGCTGTACACCTGTAATCCCAGTTACTCAGGAGGCTGAGGCTAGAAGAATTGTTATTTCAAGGCTGGACAAACTAGCCAAATCCTGTTTCCATATTTTTTGTGGTACCTAAAGAAACAAGTACTTGGGCTGGGGCTATAGCTCAGTTGGTAGAGTCCTTGCCTTACATTCACAAGGCCCTGGGTTCAATATCCAGTACCCCCCATACACACACAAAAAAAGAAGAAGAAAAAGAAACAAGTACTTTTTATTTTTTATTCTGATCTAGATTTTATACAAATTTTTTTATTGGGTTTTGTTTTTGTGGTGCTGGTGGTAGAATTTGGGGCCTCTTGCATGCTAGGTAAGCACTCTACCTTTGAGCTACACCCCAGCCCCCACCAAGAATTTTTTTCAGTGCCCATCTGCACTGGGATTACAGTAGTGAGCAAGACAGTCTGTTTGTGTTTCTGGTGCAGAAAGCAAACTACGCAAAGAAGTTTGAGACTCCTCAATAAGTAAGATGTAATTCAACATCTGAGTACTTTAAATTTTGTAAATTAAACTGGGAAAAGGTGCTCTTGAAATGGTGCAACTTTTCAATTACAACAACTCCACACTGCTGATCTTGGGTTTTAGCTGGTGAAATGTTTCATGTTCACTCACCATGGCGCAGATGTGTATTCTTACTTGAGTGGTGCTTGGCAGATTGTTACAGTATACCTGGCTCCATCTACACCCATCTGGCATTGCCAGAATCAAGAAGGGCCTTGTCCTGGGTACTGTATCCTACGAAGCTTTTTAAAATTTGACATTTTTCTCTCTCTCATCTTAAGTAATGGAAGTTGTGTGTGAGTGGAATTCCTACAAAACATTTACAAATTAATGTTTCATGAAGTTAGACAGTCTCCCATTCCTTAAAAGGGATGTCTGCATGGCTTTTAGAGTCAGTATTAAGCTCTAACAAGTGTTCCACTGGAGTGACAGTGAAGTGCTAGAAGCTTTACTTGTCAGAAGCATTGACATATCTTTAGTTTTCTATGATGTCTGATGGAAAAGTAGGCAGAAATGATGAGCCCGATTTGAGACCCTGTCTTAATAATGAGAATGTAGTTTAGTGGTCGAGCACCCCTGGCTTCAATCCCCAGTACTTCAACAACAACAACAACAAAATTGGTGAGATTGGGAAGATGAGGGGGATCTAGTATTCATTGCCTTAAGGTTATTTTTTCTTTTGCAGTACTGGGGATTTTAACCCAGGGGTGCTCCACCACCGAGCTACATCCCCAGTTTTTTTTTGTTTTGTTTGAGACCTCAACCTGGGGATCCTTCTCCTTCAGCCTCCCAAATTAATGGGATTACAAGTGTGGGCCACCATGCTCTGTACTTTAATGTGTTTATATATATATATATATATATATATATATATTTATTTATTTATTTATTTATTTTAGTTTTAGGTGGACACAATATTTTATTTTGTGGTGCTGAGAATCGAACCCAGTGCCTCATGCATGCTAAGCAAGCGCTATACCCCTTGAGCCACATTCCCAGCCCCATTAATGTGATTTCTTTTAAAGGCAGAATTCCAAGCAGTGTTGTGATTGGGAAGAAAAGTAATCTTAAAAAATAGGTTCAGAACCTGTTCTGCCATTTAATTAGCTCTTATTTTGGCCTGGTCCTCCTTCCCTATAATGGGAATGATACAATTCACCCTGCTTTCATCACATAAATGTTTCGAAGACTTGCCAGAATGCTTGGTAGATCACGCATGGTACAGTGAGGGCGTGGTGATTTAAGACTGTCTTGTGTTAGCTTTTGCCTGTGCTCTTATACCACCTGTCAACACCATTAGAAGTCCTTGTTTAGGTTAATAAGCATCTCTCAAACTAAATTTATGTGTTCAGAATTGGGCGAAAAGTCTTGGGGAAAATTTCTGTAATGTGTGGTAGCTTTGGATGATTTTTCTCAGGCATGTTCTTTCCAAGCTAGGCATAGGAGAGATGGGCCACCGTTTTCCTGACTGTTGATTCCTAGCAACCACAAGTCCACATTCTCATTTTATGGATGAGCTCAATGTTAATAGGCTACGTGGCTCAGAAGCAGGCCCTCTGACAGCGCGCCCAGCATCACACATGCGAAGGTGGACTTCTTGGGCATGACCTCGACCAATCTGTTTTGAGTTGTGTAAGAGTGAACCAAGCTGTGCACCAGCAAGGAATGGCCGCTCCCTGGCCTTGCCGTGCCCACCCGGCGCGGACTGCTGGTTCTCTCCAATCTGCGTTGGGCTCGGCACCTCCAGGCTAAGAGCCGGTCTCCGAAGCCGGTCCTGGCGCGACGGTGCTAAGCTCGGGAACGACTACTGCCCCCAGCATGCCCCGCGGCTGGCCGCGCGTGCGCAGAGGTGCCGCAGCGCGCTGACGGGGAGCGAGCCTCGGGTCCGTGAGCGCGTTCGGGATTGGCGCTGAGGTGGGCGCCGGCAGGTGAGT